CCCCCTTCGTTTATATGTTATTATGTACCAGGTCACAATTGTTACTAACAATGTGCAACCTGCCAACAAGGAGGTTTAAAAGAAACCTCCTTGCTGCCAATAATTTAGTTACCTACATTGTAGGGCTAAGGCAGACATGAAGATGACTTCTAAAGAAGGTCAATTAATTTTTATACTTTTTCTATCTTAGTTGGCAGATGTTCTAAAGTCAAGCTTACAAACTAAAAAATAGTTAAACTGTGACCTGATAAAGTGAAATCGAATACTTCTCTCATTCCCTTTACTTCCACTTAATATAATATATACCTATTGTATATAATTTGTAAAGTGGATTTAGCAATCATTGTTTGGACCTGGTGAACTAGACTGGGCCTTACTTAGCCCAGTGGCCTCAGTGAAGGCCCATGGGCCATGCAAATGAGTCATTCTACTGGTAAAACTGTCAGACATGTGCTAATTACACTGACAAGCAAGGTGTGATAACTCATTATGCGAGTGTATTTTACAGTGTGGAATGGCCAATTATAACTCATTTGCACTGGGCTGGACCTTTGCTAGGCCACGTGGTCTACGAAGGGGCCAGTATTGGCTGTTACTTGTTCATGTGGTCCAACCAATAGACCACTGAGTTGGGCAACTTTCAAAATGGAATATTTCCGTAACGTTACATGTTATGACCAAATTAAAGACATCATGATGCAAGGGAAATCATGCTCTTTCAAATGACATGTAAAAGTTAACTGTATCTTCAGTAGAAAAAAAGTTAGAAAATTGGATCACCAAGATGGCCGCCTTGAAATCGGGAAACTGAACTTCCCAATTTAAACTGACCAGTGTTAGTAGCTTTTTGGACGAAAACAAGGATACCGGGCATACAAACTATGAATATTACTAACCAGTAACGGTAACTTTACCCCAGTAACCAGTATTTCAATCTCCCAAAGCTCCTTTCCACTTGAGAACGAACACATGTCTAGTTGCTGTTTGTGGAGTTGCTCCTTAAAGTGTCACAGCTGATCATAGGTCCATAACTACTGATGACCTTTGAACCTGCATCAGAGGGACTGTTTGCCTACTTTAGTAGCAGTAGCTGTGCTATGGGCCATCCTTGAAGATGTAATATTACACCACACAACACTCGTGAAAGATTTCTGTCTAGAGTTGAAAAGTCAACAACCCTCTTGTCTCCATGGCATAAAACTGGCCTGATCTGACCAGAATTGGCTCCAGGAAAAAAAAACTGTCAAAAATGATAAGAGCAAAGTGGGCCTTTTTCAAAATTCATTTCCTGGTCCCAGGTATTCAAGTCCTGGGAACTGTGCAGGGTTGAATGGCAGCCCATGGAATGTTTTTAACCTGCAACCACAGTTGGAATCTCTCCAAGAACAACTTGGAAAGTGTTCAGCTCTCTTACAGAACTGTCTCCTAGGGCCTCAAGGGTTCTCAAGGTGACAGTCACTTCTTAAAGAAGCTGATGGGTCTCATACATGTACTGTTGTACTCAAGGACACAGACCTAGAAAATAAATGATTTTGCAACTTTCATCATCCTGGGGCATTATATCTGCGAGTCTGTCACTGTTCAAAATCTAGTATATGACATACAGGCTCAATTCCAAATATCAACCATACTCAAGATTCCTGAATATTCCAAAGGCTCTGAAATATTATTAGTTCATGAATTAGAACAAAGCCTCAAACAAACAAATGTACAAGAATATACATTTGACCTTGAACATTTACCAACCCCTCTCTCAGGCTGGTTTAACTTTTTACTTGCTACTCTGTACCTACAAATGTAACTCAAAAATCAATACAACTGATACCAAAGAGCTACAATGTACCTCAGCTAGGAGGTTACATATACTAGTATGTGAACTGAACATTGACACTACGTGACCAGGATATATCTCCCAAACAGTGTGAATCAATATAAATGAAACATTCCTCCTGGTGGATAAAGTGATCATTGTGATAAATTATGGGGTCAGGTTTCAATCTACATAAAGGGGGCCTTTGCAAGTAGTTATCCAATGTACTAAATCCATAATTGTAAACTTTGTTTAAGTCAGTCTAAGACCCTTAAAAATCGTATCAAAAGAGTTCTACTTTTTCAGGGTCAATACCTTAATTAAGCACCTCCATTGCCGAAACATATATTATACCTGTCAACAAACCTACAATTACTTAAGTACACAATTCTGTAAACCAGGTTTTACAAAGAAGATACATGGTATAGCTTTTGGAGTCACTGAAAATACAACAAAAGATACAATCTGTGTGACTGACAATGTTTGATTTCAGGGGGCTGTACAATGTATTAGTTGACTGAATATATAATCTACCTGACCTTTGGTCTCTTGCTGACTTTGCTGTATTTACAAAACTAGTGTTCACCTGGTTTCATACTTAAACATGTAACGTTACATGTACATACGTGGTCAATCAACTGCAAAAGCCTGTATATATCAGGGTAACTAAATAAAAACTAATAAAAGTTTAAATTTTTCTCCTGAAATTTGCATACACTCAACAGTACCATATGCATGTTATCTGCCTCGTATATGTTGAAAACAATTTGTGGCATGACTCTCCAATAATAATACAGCTAACCCTTAAACAAACAAGAACATTGAGGTAAATATTACTTCCTGTTGGGCCTTTGCTCTGTACAGGTGTCGTTTCAAAGGTAAAGTTCCCTAATAGATAGTAATAAGGGTAGCTCAGCCCTGGGCAAACAGGAAGCTCTGAAACTAAAGTAACGGTTCTGACCTGACCAGACTAGACAGAGTTTCCCCCTGGTATGGCAACTTGTTTCAACTTTACTCATAATAATCTGGTTTAGCTATTGGAATGAAACATTTCACAATTAAGCTCTACTAATTCTACATAAATCATATGCGTTCATTCCTTGATCAAACCAGTTCAGATTTTCCAAGAAAAATCCAAAATATCATTTACCGGTAAAGATACACACCTGAAAATGAAACACATTATTTCTGAAGAGAGGTACTTGTGCATGCGTCGCAACTATTGGTTATAAAAGTTTGGGAAGATTAGAGACCTGTCACACTTGTTAATTGGATACTGGTGATCCTGTAAATGTCATGACTAATTAAGAGTTTTCACTGCTGTAATGAAATACATGAGGGAACATCAACCCTCGGCCCACATGACAATATTTGAATTCGGACACAAGATGTTACCTTATTATATTATCTTTCACAATTTCCTGTAAATTCATATTTATAGAACCTTTGAAGATATTCATACTATTGGAAATATGACAATGGGATGAATGGGACTATGGTTCAAGTTTAACATGTTTCCAAAAATGCATATGTGAAAATCAATCTGATGGTACTCAAATTTGGTAAATGTAAAAATGAAAGCAGCTACTGCTGCCCTAACCTAACCTTATCAAGGTATGAATAGCAAAGATTAAATGCTTCTGTGTATATATAACTGTCATTCTGTATACAGTATATGATTTTGGGTGCACTGTTTACAGTTTCAGACCTAACTCTATTGATTTTAGTTGGCAGAACGAAGGTCTACTCCCCTCCCTGTTTAAACAAAACAAAACAAGGTGTAACATGAGCCAAGTTACCCCCACAAAGGTCACATTTCCTGTTCTTCAAGTACAAGTATGTTATATTGTTTTTCCATTGAAAGTGACAAATGTTGATCATGGAAATGCAGACTAGAAAGCAACTTACATGCTCACGTCTTTCATTTGTCTTTTCTTTCCAATGTACACTTGCAGAGTACACAATGTATTCTTGAAAGGCATTTATTCAACTACATGTACATATATCTTTGAAAGGATAACAGTGTCGAATTTGTGCATGCATTCATTTGCAATACCATATTTGGGGCTTATAATCCTAATAATACAATTCTTGCGGTCGCATAGCACAATATTTTTGAGTGAACCCCATAGTCAGTACAGGGACAAAGCTCAGGCACAAAGTATTGCAGCATACTTAGTAGTAATACTCCAGAAAGCAGCTGAGATCCTTCTGTGAATGACAGTGAAGTGAAAACTATGCAGACTGGTAGCAGAACGTGTCAGGATTGAGACCGCAGAAGTTGAATTATGTTTGTTCGGTCAGCATAGATTGGCACCCTGATACTGACTGTTACAGCCTTGTACTACACATTGGCTACAGTTCACATGACCCGCACATAGCACCATATACAACAGGTATTCAAAATTGTTCGGTAAATTCTTCTGTACAGTGTTGCCATAAGGAGGGAAGACCATCCTTCCTGATTGCTACCTTCCCTAATTACCAAAACCACCTGATAATTATTTTCACGTGGAAACCACAGCAGGGTGCACAAAGACCTCCTATTAGAAAACGGTGGCTATAGGAATAAAAAAAGGAAAGCAAAAAGAAAAAGCACTATCAAAACATTATTGACCAGCAACTAATATAACTTAATTGTATGTTTTGTCAACTTGGAGGTGCTCATACATTCAACAAGTTTAAAATTCCGCAACGAAACCTGTTGACAAGAAAACAACAAACTATCATTGTTTTTGTTTACGAAAAGAAATTACACTATGCAAAACTGCGAGGAAAAATCAGACGTGTCTCAGGAAACGTTTGTGTTGTTAAAATCAGACAGGCGCCCCAAAACAGGAAGTTAAATAACCCTCCCACCCTGAAAGGCTCTAAGGGTTATTGCAAGATTCTGCATTACGTTACCTAAAGACAAATGTAGGACGGCACACTTCAAACACTTTTGAAACATCCACTTTACGATAGTGCACTAGATCATTCCAGAATGTTATAAGTAAGATTTCTGAGAATAAGCTGAACGCGTCATGCCGATCCCCCCTTTGTGGACCCTAGAAGGCCAAAATGCGACCTGTGCCCAAAATTTTCATTGATTCCCACACAACACACAACCTTCACCAACCCGTTTCTGCAAATTCTACAACAGACACGGCCCGAAACGACACGTTTTACATATAAACATGGCCTCTCTTACCTTCTGTGAAAGTTGGCGTGTCAGTAACTGTGGAGATCTCCCACGGTGGAGCTGGAATTTCGCGGAAATCGTGAGTTTTTCGCCCACACGAACGAAGGAGGGAGGTGCTCTTACCTTATGCTGATCAACTTCCTGGTCGGATTGCGCATGTCAGGTCAGCTGACAGCGGGGGTCCCAGGGCGCTCTGATGCAGGCCTCATCTAAATCGCAAGAGGACGCTGTTGACTGTATCAAATGATAAATTGCTTTAATACGAGAATTCCTCACCGTGAAAATTTTAAGCATGCGGTTTTATCTGTGTTACCAAGCGGTACTAAAGTAACTTTAACTTGTTAGGTCACTTGGATTTTAAAATATGGAAGAAGCAACATTTTTTCTTTGAATATCATAGACCTTGAGAAACATTAACATCTAAACATACTCTTTGCACCATGCGACCCACAGAAATGTTTTACCAGATACATGTATATGGTATATCTACCCCACATGTATAAAATAACTTACAAACAAAAACACACAATCAGTAAAATACCAACTCAAATAACTTCCAAGCAACCAAAAACACACAAGCAAACAGTTAAATACCAACTCAAACAAATGTGCAAACTATTGATGATAACTTGATATCAGTAAATCAGTTCTCAGTTACCTTAATACTGCTAGCGCTGATCAGCTCCCCTCATTGCGGTTCCGGATATCGGTCCTTTTCACTCCGATTCAGACATCTCCACTGCGGATCTTCTATACGCTTGGGACTCAGTCGATCAGCACTTCTCAATCCGGATGAGGCTCTTCACTTCAGCCCGCACAGCTCCGGATCCCCACCCCGGAGCTGCTCCCGGCCCCCGTCCCGGCCCGGAACCTCATCAGCGGTACCCGGGCAGTCGGATGCCGTCGTAATGCTCACCCCCCGGGGTGTCCAGGTAAGCCATGATTAGAGCGGAGCCTGACAGTTCGCATTCAGGCGTCACCACGAGGACGCCCCGGGAGGTGATCAGGTGAACTTCCCGGGAGAAAAACTCCGCCAAGGCGACCGGCACGGTGTCTGCCAGGTCCATGCTCCAGTGGCCTGGCCGGGACAGATCATCCAGCTGGCGGTGGAACTCCGAGAGCCCGCCCGGCACGGCGACGGAGTACCTGGCTGCGTGGTGGCGGATGTAGCGTACAAGGAAGTGCCGGAGTTGTTGGGCTGTGGTGGCGATACTTGGCTCTGCCCTACCGAGCTGTCTGGCCGACGCCTCAAAGAGGCAGTTGCCATCACGGGGCACTGGGTCTCTCACGTATCCCATCTCGGTGATGTTTTTGTCAAGCAGCTCCTCTCTCGTTTTCTGTGAGTGCTGGGCGAATATGTCGAGTGTCGTCTGTTCTTCGCGCGATAGTTGTTGAGGCGGCAGCACGGCGACATCCACGTTTGCAGGCTGGTTTGGTGTAGCTGGGGTGGATGGGGGCGCAGGACTAACCTTGTTGCTCTTAGAGAGCTTTGCGGGCTGGGTTGGTGCGACTGCTGCTTTTCTCTCACCGTCAACTGGGATCTCAGCAATCTGGTCTGGTTGTGTATCCTCGGGCTCGACGGGAACCAGATTCAAGAATCGCTCCGCCACGTCGGACTTGGACTCGGGGGGCGAAGGACCAACCTTGTTGCTCTTAGATAGCTTCGGCAGACACTGATGGAGTGTCTGCTTTATCTTCGTGGTCAGATTAACTTTGTCCGACCTGCATTCACAGGAAATATCCCTTACCTTGTGTGTCTATTTATGTGCGTAGGTTTAGCATTAATTATATATAAAACACGGTGATTGTGATCTTGTGGATGAAGGACGCAGAAGAAGAAAATTAACAGAAACGCTGAAATGTGAACCTTGCAATAGTACCGTACACGTGTGTGAGAGACGAAACTGTCCAATTACGAGTTAGGCATCACAAAACAAGGCATCTATAGCAATACTTCAGTATAAAGACGGAAACCAACAACGTATAATTATATCAAAGGACAACCCTATAATGCATTATCATAACCAACGAAACTCGCCAAGCATCTAATCAGGCAATAAGTGTAACAAAACAGAACGTCGAACAACAAAGACGCATAAAATGTAAACAGTCCCATATCTCAGAAGCAGTAAAAGTCCCACATAGTTTGTGTACAGAACGGAGGAAGCTTTCTGGTGCCTTCCTCTTAGCTACAATCACTTGAGCTGCTTTACGCCGACGCTACAGCGCTCATGGCGACAAAAGATTCACCGAGATGTTGGCAGGTAATTTTTATCCGGCTATGTAAAGGAATTAGGAACTCCATGCAAATATCCCTGTGCCATATCACGAGTTTTACGTACGATACATGATTAACAGGCAGTGTCCTCTGTTTGTCTGAATGTCAGGATTTGTTAAGTTCAAAGTTATTGTGGCAACACAGAGGGAGTGTGTACTTAGCTCTGTGGAAAACTTCATAGTCATGTACATGATCAGCTAGTTTGACTTACCAGGCCGTCTTCGGCTTTCGTTTGGGCACGACTTTCGGGCGTAGGTCTACATCCGAATCAACTGGATGAACACGGTTGTTCCCAATCTTTGAGAGATTAGTTCCACCCATATTTCGTGATTTACCACTTGGGATTTGTAATAAAAACTCAGCAAGATTCCGCTAACGCTTAAATGTACGTTGTGTACGAATGTACGTCGCGTTGAGTTCTGATGACGTCACAGGAAACGTTTGTCACAAACTTTGTGACGTTCGAGAACAACTTTTTAAAGAGCGCGAGGTTCCCATGGTGCTTTGCGAACAAGATAGGCCATTCCCAAACTAAGAATTGAAAGTTTACTTGGCATTGCAAACTTTAGAAGGGGACAGGAAAGCCCTGTCAAACTATGGTCCTGAAGTGCAAGTTGACTTCGGTCCGGCAGTTGCCAGGGGAACAGAGATTTTCTGGATGGTACCTGGCATCGAAATGTTGGTGTACGATACAGAGGCAGACAACTGGTCTGAACATCCAGCCCCAGGGTTTGAGGACAATATTGAAGATGGGGATTTCTTTGTACTCCAAAACACGCTCCATGCATTGATCAACTATCCCCAACTTCAACAGGTTTTAATATATGACAGGCGTGAACGTATTTGGAGAAAGTCATCTGAGCTGCCTTTTGGGCCAATGGATATTTATGATCCTATGTACATTGTAGCTCGTATGTACCTACCATATCTGAACACCAGCCATGAAGACACACAGGATGCAGCAAATCCAGAGGGAGAATAGTTATGATATAGTGCGCAACCCCTCAGAGAATGTGAGAACATGCTAGAACGTAATTGATTAGATTAGGCAGACTTTGATGACTTGTCTGTCTGAGTTGGTTTTATAATTCATTTCCATGAATTAGACAATAGGCACTGTGTTCGGGAGGGAATTAGTACTTTGTAATTGTACACTGACCAACATCAAATAGTACAAATCGTTGCCTTCAAATTAGCCTTACCATATACTGAGAAGTGTGTAATGTTGGAAAACACTTTTCGAAGATGGTAACTAAAACTAGTAAAAACAACCACATTGGTTAAATCTGGTGTCTATTGAATAGTGTGTACAATGTACACATTTTAGCTACCTTGCTGAAATCTGCTGTTGAAGCTTGTAGGGACCAAGTAGTTTTGGTGTTTCATGTCAGAATTGCTTAAAATCTTGCCAGTGGACAGCTCTGCAGTAACTGAATAAACCATTGTTTACCAATGGAACTTACATGTGTCTGTCTTGTTTTTGCCCATACAGTGTTAGATTTCCAGACTTTGCCCAAATCTTTGTCCAAATCATTGTTACCTTTGTCATCTGTGCTCGTGAGTTTGTGTAACCCGCATACCATACGTATACAGAATTAGAGCTATCTTCGTGTTTTTAATTGTGTGAAATGTCTTGAATACTGGTGTTCCTCATTTTACATGGCGGTAAACAGGCAACCCACCATTTGCGAGCCTTATATGATTTCTCGATTCACTATATGATGAAAATTTGTAGACAGAAATCCTTTTACAATGCATACCTATTGCCTTATACTTACATCTTATCCAGACGTGCTTTTTAGAAACTGAATAACTCTACTATTTCTGTGAATAATGCTGCTGGACAAAGATACGATAAAACAAGATAACGTTCCACTCCTTTTTATTCCAATATATCACTTCCACTGGAACTCACTTCCGGACAAGACATCACAGAAATTACTGGACCTGCCAAGTTTAAACCGTGCCCTGCTGTCATACCTTACACAATATTTTTCAATAATTTTGAAAAAATGTGATTAACCCCCAACTTTTTTACTTAAGCATTCGTTGTATTTCGCCGCGGTGCAATGCGTTGCAATGCGTTGCAAGAGAAATACACCCAAATCGTACCTATACAGAGTTCTATATAGATGGTACTGTATGTGCAAAACAAAAATTGTTGGGCTCCGCAGGACAAGGGTTAAGGCAGCGGTAATACAACATCTGAGCGGTCTTGCTCAGTACCCAATCAAGATCAAAATACAGCATGCATACTAATTTTACACATTATTAGCATGAAATTTCATCCGACTTGGATCATGATGAATTCACACTATACTCTTCAACTCTCAAATCACAAATGCATATAAAATATACATATATAAGACATTTGTCATCAAAAAATATCAATCTCTTCTATAAAATTAAGCTTCAAGCTTAAGGGTCCACTCGGCTTCTACAGCACGAGGTGAGCAGGCGGCTTACGGCTCTTCCCAGCCTCCTGGCCGCCCTCTGACCCCGTGCTTTCCACCCCTTCTTGGTCTTGGTCTGTGTCTGCTCCTTTTCCTCAATGTTGTTCTTCTCCTCTTCATGGAAGTTCTCCATCCTCTCTTCACGTGCAGTCACTTTCTGCTCGATGCCATTTTCCAAGGCCTCCTCCTCAATGCTCGGTTTCTCCTGATGTAATGGCTGCTGGGTGGCCCTATCAAACTCATTCTCATCACAGCCTGTGATAGAAGACGAACTTTATTGTACGACGATTGCACATGGTACAATATGGCAAAGTACATTTGTACACACACAAAAAATGTATTGAATAAGACCTAATGTAGAATAAAACCTAATATATCCTTATTACTCAAACAATAAGGGCTAGCACAAGTCTTTGATATAGTGTTATATCGAGTGGGGCTAATCACGAGTTTTGGTATTTTTTCTCATAACAAAGCAGTCTTTTATATATTTACCTGTTACTGCATCGCGGATAGACACATGTGGGAGATGTATATTCTGTCCTGAGAGGGTGTCGCAGCTCGGTACCATCTCACCACACAGCTTACTGCAGGCTTCTCTTATAGCATTGGAGGAAAGAATCAACGCTGTCTTCTCCAGCCATTTCTCATCTGCCTTCTCTTCCTCCAGGGACATTTTTTCATCTTCTTGACGCGTCCCCTGTTCACAAGTAGAAAAGACAGGATAAGCTTTGCTGCAAGTAAACTCTCTATGAGCCATACAAGATGTACTGTAGTCGATGACCAACCAGTTAGCAAAACAACCAATCAACCAATCAATTTTTATCGTCATGCCAGTACAAAAAAAAAACTGTCGTCCTCTAAAGAGATCAAGTGTAAAGCTTTTTTCTTAAAGGCTGTCAGTCAAGTAACCGATAATAAATCTTAATAGTTACCTTAATAGTTACGATATGATCTACTGCTTTTTTCAGCCGATGTATATTTAAAAGCAGAAACATTTTGTCATATTTGCATATCAACCACAACTCACCTCGTTACTGAGACTCTCCTCTAGATCTTCCTGCAACTCCTTGCAGGCATCCCTGAGGGCTGTGCAGCAAACATACTGTACAGCCAGCTCCAGGTTTTCGTCCTTATTGACCAACAGGTTCTCTTCGTCCTTACTGACCAACAGGTTCTCTTCGTCCTTATTGATCAACAGGTTCTCTTCGTCCTTATTGACCAACAGGTTCTCTTCGTCCTTATTGACCAACAGGTTCTCTTCGTCCTTATTGACCAACAGGTTCTCCTCGTCGTTATTGACCAACAGGTTCCCCTCGTCGTTATTGACCAACAGGTTCCCCTCGTCGTTATTGACCAACAGGTTCCCCTCGTCGTTATTGACCAACAGGTTCCCCTCGTCGTTATTGACCAACAGGTTCCCCTCGTCGTTATTGATCAACAGGTTCCCCTTGTCGTTATTGACCAACAGGTTCCCCTCGTCGTTATTGATCAACAGGTTCCCCTCGTCGTTATTGACCAACAGGTTCCCCTTGTCGTTATTGATCAACAGGTTCCCCTTGTCGTTATTGATCAACAGGTTCCCCTCGTCGTTATTGACCAACAGGTTACCCTCTGATTCCTCCTGCCGAACGGTTGGAGCAGATGTCCCCTGTTCACAACAATAAAAAATGATGGGATGAGCTTTATTGCCAACAAACTCTCTACAGCTGTGTGCAAGATGAAGTGTGTGGTAACTGATAGATAACTCAACCAACCAACTGACGAACAAAGAAACCAATAAATCCGTCAATAAATCAATCAATCATTCATTATCCTGTTTGTAAATGCAAACCAGTCATCCTCTACAGAGGTCAAGCATAATCCTTTGTCCTTATGTCAGTCAAGTAACCAATACATGTAGCTCCCATGCATGATAACGTTTATCATTATCCCAAGTAGTTCCGTTGGGACACTTTGAGACTTTATTGAATGATATGACCAAGAGAATTATCAAGTACTGTTCACAGTAACCACTATTTTTTTCAGTCGATACTTATTTACAACTTCAAGCAGTGCCATCTTTTAGATGACGCCTCACCTTGTTTGGGACAGAAGACGGGACCTGCTCTCTGCTCTCTGCCAGAGCAGGCTCGCTCGCGCTAGTGTCCTGTAATATACAATAACATCAGGTTAAGTAAACAACTAACTAAACGCTTCGGACATTTACTGCGTGTCTTTCTTATTATATTGTCTACATTAACTTCAATACAACAAGTACAAAAATCTTTTTAGAATTTGCCATCAACGCTTCATTTCTTTACAATTCTTTACAATTACTTCGAATTATCAAATCAGCACCAAGGACAGATACCGAGTTGCGGATTGTATAACGTGTTACGTATAGTAAATGGGTGGTGCTACTCTGCTATACTCGTAAACAAACTCGTAACAGTTTCATTACAACCTGACTCTAAAATTCACATAAGATACGCCTACTAAAAACTGTCACAAGCGTGATTGTAGCTGACGTACCTTCTTTCCAGGTTGGGACAGTGGCCCCTGCCGGGTCGCCACGTCCCCCTCTGACACGGCCACGGGAACAGGTACAGCAGCAGCGGCGGCGATGGCAGCCTCCCGCTGGGCCCTTGATGGTGCCTGGGGTAGAAGTGAGACAACGAGTTAGAAATACACTATCCACGTGGAACAAATACATGTGTACATGTGTACTAGTACTGATCGGTCACACGTGCTTTACCGAAGCTGATGAAGGAACAGCAGCGATCGTATACGTTCTAGAACATCAGCCGTGTGTTTATAAACAGTTTCGGAACACCTGTACTAAATCCCAACTTTATTTAGAAGTCGTTAAAAAAACTGTACGCTTAAAAAAAACTGAGTCTATCCCAATCCCAACTTTAGAAGCCGTTTAAAACTTGCCGATTCTATCCCAACTTCAAGTTCAAGACACTTTTTATACATTTTACACCCATGGGATGACTCACCTTAGGGAGCTGGATGCCCCGTTCCGCTAGCAGCTTCTCCCTAAGGGGGCACACCCCAGTTTATTTGGGGCCTCTATTCGAAGCTGCACACCCTCAAATCTAGCGACCGTCTCTGGCGTGGAATAATTCGGAAGGAGAATAACTGTATATGGGACGAAAGGATATCTCTTCAGCTACAAGACAAGCTGAGTTTGGTTTCTTCAACCTTTTTAAGTTTGGTAAAATCAACGGAAAAAACATTATTTTCACTCGAAAATTAATGCCCAAAATTGCGAATTTTCGCGTAGGATAATCCCACAAAAAAAATTTTCCGGCAGAAATGACTGATGCTGGCAGAAAGACCCAAGCCTTGACTATACCCGAGTAAATTATAAAGAAAATTCTAGTACTGTAATTTTCTAAACAGTCCACGGCGCGAGGGGTTGCAAATCCACCCCTACGAAGCCGCAGAGCGAAAACTAGGTCAAACGGGCGGATTACACTTGGCGCGCAAGGATACCCGGAAGTAAGGTTCGGAGCCAAAAGAAATTTTCACCCCAAAATCACCATTTCTTACACTCTTCAGCCATGTTAATGTTTAATGATACTTCGTGGCAGTTTATAAGAAATGTCACCTCAAACTTGGACCCTCAAAACCCTTTCGTCACTTTTTTACAACGGACTATCGCGGACCCCGGTCGCGCAAGAACTGGGGTGTGCACCGTTAATTAAGCCAAATTTTAATTAACATTGTTTTTTAATTAACAATGTCATAGTCTATCAATCGTGCCAAGTTTGAGTTTTCTGCGACTTTTCCTTCCCGAGTAACAGGTGGTTGAAAGTTACCCTGTCGGGAGGCTCATTTTGCGCTTCCACGGGTGTGTTCCATTCACGCACATAATGGGAATTACGTCACAATGGGCCGTTCCTTTGGAACGGGCTTTAGCGCATTAAACCATGCTAAATAAACAGGTTTTGCCATGTAAAGGAATGCCAGAGGGCTGTTCTTGCGATGGAGTAGGTTTTCCTTCTAGTTCTGACTGAAATAAGCGGTATAAACCACCCAGAATATAGTTTAGCTGATGACGTCACAATGCCCTCCTAAAGCCGAACTTTTTAAGTGAGATCGCTATGGTTTTAAGTTCTGTACGTTGACAGGAAGCAGTTGATATTGAAATTTTAGGTCATACCCGGTAGAGAACAAACCATGAGATCTTACCCAAGTGTTTCCGCTGCGGAGATTCATTTTGTTTTGCAGGAAAACGAAGCTTAATGTTGGATATTTGGTTAGATTGTAGGCCTGTGGCGGCGTTCTAGCAGCTAGGACGGTATAAATGGCCATCTGCTGAGAGAAGCCTGTACAGTTTGGTGTCGGTCTCGATGAGATATAAAAGCAGGAGGATGTATCTTCGGATTATTGCAACTTATTTGTCTGAAAGTTGAAATCTCGCGATAGGCCGAACTTGAAACTAGATTTGACAGGAAAGTAGGGGAATGACGTCATCATGGCCTTTTTTTAATTAAAAACGTCTCCTCCTTAATGCAGGAGCGCCTGGCACACGTACATACGCAGTTTCCAGGTGCCCCAGGGGTAGGGCAATGCAAATAATGAAATCGCGGTAGATATGACGTCATCGATCTTTAGTAGACACACTTCGAAGTCGGTTTGACCGTGTTCGGAGGGGGGGCGTGGGGAGGGGGGCAAATCAGCGCATTATATGACATTCTATAATCATATTAAAACTTGCGAAATCCAAAATTTTTTCGCCATGATTGGGTAAAGGATATACACTTTACTGGATGAAATGCAATTTGTTGGCTGCCATAGCTAATATTTTTTGAAGGACGGACCTGTTTTAAGGGGGCACACCCCAGTTTATTTGGGGCCTCTATTCGAAGCTGCACACCCTCAAATCTAGCGACCGTCTCTGGCGTGGAATAATTCGGAAGGAGAATAACTGTATATGGGACGAAAGGATATCTCTTCAGCTACAAGACAAGCTGAGTTTGGTTTCTTCAACCTTTTTAAGTTTGGTAAAATCAACGGAAAAAACATTATTTTCACTCGAAAATTAATGCCCAAAATTGCGAATTTTCGCGTAGGATAATCCCACAAAAAAAAATTTTCCGGCAGAAATGACTGATGCTGGCAGAAAGACCCAAGCCTTGACTATACCCGAGTAAATTATAAAGAAAATTCTAGTACTGTAATTTTCTAAACAGTCCACGGCGCGAGGGGTTGCAAATCCACCCCTACGAAGCCGCAGAGCGAAAACTAGGTCAAACGGGCGGATTACACTTGGCGCGCAAGGATACCCGGAAGTAAGGTTCGGAGCCAAAAGAAATTTTCACCCCAAAATCACCATTTCTTACACTCTTCAGCCATGTTAATGTTTAATGATACTTCGTGGCAGTTTATAAGAAATGTCACCTCAAACTTGGACCCTCAAAACCCTTTCGTCACTTTTTTACAACGGACTATCGCGGACCCCGGTCGCGCAAGAACTGGGGTGTGCACCGCTAAGCCGCATCTGAACCACGCTGTCCTTCAGCGCGACATAGTCAAGATTATACACGTCACCCATGATAGACTTCTTCAATTTCACCTCGCAAGTCAAAAATTCGTAAAATAAGCTGTTGGAACAGCAAGAAAACGTTTCACGTCTGATACCAACTGTGGCTAGAAGTGAAATGAGCACTTTGCACTGGCAACGCTCTGACGTGCCCTGGTCAGGTCGGGGTGCACTAGGGCATCGTGACCTCATCGGCTCGATGACGTCATCGGCCGTCGTCTTTAAAGCCCATTTTCTCGATTATTATAGGATGAAATGAAGTAATATTGTATACTACTATAGATTATCACCTTTAGAATCGTTTTCAATTGCCGTTATACTTTTTTTCTGTCGTAAAACTGGTAATTTCACCCAATTTATGTCTAGTGCACATCGCTCTGAACAAGTTGCATCGTCACGTGACCGGTGCAAAACGAACCGTGGACTGTTCCATTTTAAAACTTGGCAGGGGTGTGTTTTTTCTGACGGGGGACGTCATAAACATCATATGACGTCATAAACGCTCAGGACCAATCAGCTATCTAGGGCTCCGGGATTATGTCCAGAACATCATTGCGACTTTAAGTCCTTCCTGCGAATGCCCCTTATAACCACCTTCTTCTGAACACCTGATGCACTGATCAGCACATGTGACGTCATAATCTTAGGTGGCCGCGCGGGCGCCTGGTGGGACCCGGTGGTGAGGTTACGGCTTCGTCCCGGCCTATTTTTCTCGCCGGGGTCCTGGGGGATTTTAAGATCGAGTTAAAATCAACTCGGCGCCCGCGCGGGGTCAAAAATAGGCCGGCAGCCGTCGGGAAACCCGCCAGTCTCCGTCCAGTTCCCGTCCGATAGTGCTAAAAAAACAGCCCGCCGAGGCGCCGCGCGGGCCCCGATTTGGAATTGTGACCTAGGGTTTAGAAGAAGTAGAACTTAATGTTAGCACATGGGGATATATGATACTCTCTGTACTCACTGTCCTTGTCAGTTTACATACTAAGTAGCCCTCGAGCATGAACTTGCAATAAAGAAGTATTCTACTGATAAAAAAAAAGGAACATTTACAAAGGCCCTAAATATTTCATGTGTATGAGATCTCCAAATTCATGTTGACATGGTTTTTATCCCAGCTGTAATCTTTCAAACACCTAAACCAACACATACACAGGCAATTACGGAAGCATTAATTTATGCCATGTTGGACTTAACTTCAAAGCAAAGTAAACTTTAAATTCTTAGTTTGGGAATGGACTACTAGTATTTGCGTTCGCAAAGCACCATGGGAAGCTCGCACTCTTTAAAAAGTTGTTCTCGAACAGTCACAAAGTTTGTGACAAACGTTTCCTGTGACGTCATCACAACTCGAAACGCCAGCGTGAATTCGTACACAACGTACCTTCAAGCGTCTGTCGACTATTTCGAAGTTACTTCGTTAATCCCAAGTGGTAAATCACGAAAGATGGGTGGAACTAATCTGTCAAAGATTGGGAACAACCGCGTTCATCCCGTGGATTCGGATGAAGACGTGCCCGTCGTGGCCGAACCCAAACCCAAGCCGAAGACGGCCTGGTAAGTCAAACATTTTGAACTACATGACTACAAAGTTTTCCAAAGTGGTACTGTACACACTCCCTCTGTGTTGCCACGATAACTTTGGACTTAACAAATCCTGACATTCAGACAAACAGAAGACACTGCCTATTCATCATGTATTGTACGTAAAACTCGTGATATGGCACATGGATGTTTGGAGTTCCTAATTTCTTTACATGTACATAGCCAGATGAAAATTACCTGCCAACATCTCGCCATGAGCGCTATAGCGTCGTCGGAAAGCAGCTCAAGTGATTGTACGAGCTATGAGGAAGGCACTAGAAAGCTTCCTCTGTACTGTACACAAACTATGCACAAACTATGTGCGACTTTTACTGATTCAATATTGCTTCTGAGATTTTGGGGATGTTTACATTTTTGCACGTTTGTTGTTCGACGTTAGAACTTTCTATTATGTTACACTTGTTGCCTGATTAGATGCTTGGCGAGTTTTGCTTCTGGTTTCTTTGGTTGTGATGACTATAAGGTTGTCGAAAGTACAATTATATGTTATTATTTTCCGACTTCATACTGAAGTATTGCTATATGACGTGTACTGTGATGATTGAACTTGAAATTTGACAGTTTCCTCTATCGCAACGGGCTATCGTAAGATTCAACTTTCTGTGTTTCTGTTAATTTTTCTTTTTCTGTGTCCTTCATCCACAAGACCCCAATCATCGTGTCTTTTATGTAATTGATGGCAATGATGCTAAACCTATACATTCAAGAGGTAAGGATATTTCCTGTGAATATATATACAGGTCAGACAACAAGGCCGATCTGGCTACGAAGATAAAGCAGACACTCCATCGGTGTCTGCCAAAGCTCTCTAAGAGCAACAAGGTTGGTCCTGCGGCACCTTGCGAGTCCGACGTGGATATGGCGAACAAATTCCTTAATCTGGTGCCCGTGGAGGACGCAGAAGAAGACCATAGTAATATTTCCAAGATCGCAGTTGACGGTGAGAGCAAAGAATTCGAAGCTTCACCAAACCAGCCTGAAAACGTGGATGTCGCCGTGCCGCCGCCGCCTCAACAACCATCGCGCAAGCAGAAGAGACAAGAGCGGCTACTGAAAAAAATCACCGAGATGGGCTACCTGCTAGACCCAGTGCCCCGTGATGGGGATAACCCGTTCGAGGCCGCCGCCAGGCAGCTCGGTAGGGCTGAGCCAAGTATCGTGACCGACGCCCAACAACTCCGGCACTTTCTCGTCCGCTACATCCGCCATCACGCAGCCAGGTACTCCGCCGGCTGGGATGGCGGGCTCTCGGAGTTCCACCGGGAGCTGGATGATCTGGCCCGGCCCGGCCACTGGAGCATGGACCTGGCAAACACTGTGGCCCTGCCGATCGTCTTGGCGGAGTATTTCAGGAGGGAAGTTCACCTAATCACCTATCGGGGCGTCCTCGTGGTGACGCCTGAACTGTCACCCAAGGACAAGCTGTCAGGCTCACCTGTGATTATGGTTTACGATGGCATCCGGCATTACGACGGCATCCGGCTGCCCGGGCGGGCCGGGTACCGCTGAGGTTCCGGGCCGGGCCGCGGGGGGAGTCACAGTGAAGTGTGCTGATCAGCTGTTAAGGTAAGAAAAATTTCACTATAATCTTAGCTAACTCTCCCAATTAGTCAAAACCTATAGGTTACATCTACATATGGGTTTGTATTTAAATTATTGCAATTTGTTTGTTATGTTCTGTCCATGTAGTGTAG